AAGCATTTCACTGCATATCGTACTGTGTATGACTGTGTATGTGACAAATAAATTTGAATTTGAACATACCATGTTAAAATGTATGAATAACTTCATATGTTATTTTGGTATTGCCCAAAACTGCCAGGTACTGAAAACATCCTGTGTTCAATACTCAAAGACATTTCATTGTTGTTGATTTAAATCACAGGTGATCCCAGTCTTATATAACATCACTAATTCAGAGCTGTGATCTTTGTTTTTGTCTTCCTGTAGGACCTTGTTAACACAGGTGCCAGCACCCTGTTTTTCTTCTTGTCATCTCTCGTGCTTGCTTGCATCAATCACAACACTGGAGCTGAAATAGCAGCAGTGGTGAGTACTGACTCTTTGAACTTTATCCAGTGGCATCCTGCCTCAATCTATAACAAAGGAAGCATAAACGTGTGTAGATATGGAGGCTATTTTTGTGCCTTACTTTACTGCAGCATCACTGACTGATGATGTCCATAGATTTTGTTTCTTACTGACCAGGCTGCTAAATAAGCCTGCTAAATTTCCTACCATTGCACAGTTCTGTATATGTGTTTAATTACACTAATTTATGCACTTGTAGAAGTTTTGATATATCAGACAACCTCATCAGCTTATTGAGCTGTAATCACGTAGCTTTGACATTTGCTGACACATAAATGGTTCTGCTTCCCGTTTCCACCTGTGTGCAGATTTTTGGCTTCCTGGTGACTGTCGTGTACGGAATAAACACCTTCTTGGCAGTGCGGAAGTGGCGCCGTGGCGCTGGGTGTCAGGGGGTGGCTCAGGCCAGCGATTACATTCGGGCACGCACGGCATCGCGTGGCGAGGTGGAGCCACGACCTGAGCTTGCATGAGTGCTGGCAGACAATCAGGAAGACTAAGAGAAAGCCACTCTACCAGCAGCTGACTCTAATGGAAACAGCTCTGCCTTCAGAACAGTATTTCCACTCCAGTGAGACAGCCACCTTCAGCTCACCGCACGCTTTTGGCTTCTCATCACAACACTTCAGCTGTGAATGAGGCTCCGTGGCTTTGTTCAGCAGCCGTCCTGGCAACTCCTGCTGACACATAAACACTTAAGTTGAAAACCCGGGTCACATTTGACGGTGTGCTTTGTAAAACCCTTCATCTACATGTTTTTCTAAAGCACTTTGAAGGACAACTTCCCCTGAAAGGCTACAAAGAGAAAGCCTGACTTCTACCCAGCTGTGCACCTACTCTGGCTCCGGTATATGTGTTGACTTTTGAGCACGCTTTGTCTTTCACTGTGAATGAAGTCCAGTAAAACAAGGTCAGCTTTTGTACAGTCTGCTTATGTCATGCCGCTGAAGTTTGTGGTAATAAATGTGATCATGAAATGAGGAAACCAGTGGACCAGCAACAAACCCTAACCTGCAGTCCAACCATGACTTCATTGTTCTTTCTCACAGCTTTTACCTTCTACCTTTGAGCATTTTTTTAATTATACATGCTCTCATGAAAGTCTCCTTGCCCTTGTCTTGGCTAATCTTACAAATCTTACTTTTACACATGACTTTTAGCCACTATTGCCATACTGCATTTGCTGTCAGCATTTATGGAGTAAGTGCAGATTACATGCACTACATTAGTCCACAACACTTAAAATGGGGAAAAAATAACTTCTTTGTAACACAAATGCATCCAGTTGGTTTGACACAATAACAGGGACATAATTTTTAGCAGAGCTTAAAAAGTTTTACTTATAGATGTGTGTTAGGCCTACACTGTGAGCCTGGAGGAGGTTATATCAAGCAATGATAAGGTAATCCGTATCTTAATTTTGCACACGTCCAACACTTCAGGTAACACAAATCTTAAAAGTACATCAGTGAGATTAATTTAAAGCAAACATCAGTAGATGGCGTGGTTGAGACCAATGTCATTAGCCTATACACTGCTTCTCAGGTACTGAACCTCCTATATTACAAAAAAAAATCACAGGGTGCCTCGACCTAAACACTGTGTTTCCTAATGCCTTTCTAAATATTAGACTTGATGAGTCTGTGGGGTGGAAACATGGTACATTTAGCAAATCTGTGGTTGATTGAAATGTTTGTATATGTATCTACAATGATATTATCCCACATTTCATGTATTATGATATCCCCATCCTTCATTAACCTTATAGCAGCCTCTGCAAAGCCCATCCATCCAATACTGATTTCACTTTAATATTTTTCAGTTGGTCAGTGCACCTGAAGTACACAGGAAGTTAAACCTTTGTCTACTTATTTAGCATCTGATCTTCTTTTAATGTACACTACAGTTAAGACCTGAACCTTCTTCGGGCAAGTTGACAATGGCCCCCTCTTCTGGTCTTTATATGAAATGTATCTTTTTGTTGCGTCAGTGGATCGGGTGTATAGTCAGATGATTTTACATTAGTGTGCTTATAAGTGAAGGACCAGAAATGTATTTGACTGTGGATTTCTTTTTTTTAAATTAAGACTAATAAATGCCCTGAAGATGCTTGATTAACCAGGCATTTCTTAGATTTTAAATAACTTATGTTTTAATGCTGTTTCTCTTGGTTTGGTGATTGACATAGACGTATGAGAAGACAATCTTGTTTGTATTTATGTGTGTGTAACTTACTTTGATGGATTTGTTTTTGAGTAATACTATTACCATGTTCACTTAAGAATTTGTACAGCAACAAAATCACGCTATTGCATTACGCTATTTGGTCATATAAACCGACCATATTTGTCAAACGCTTATCAAGCTGCAGCTCTCTCTGTGTACGACTGTGCTGCAATATGTTACGAAATTTGTATTTATGAGAAAGAAAAGGCTTTCTGCTGGTTTGCAGGTCGTGACATAAACGGCAAACAATGATCCGATCACGAAGAAGTGTGGAGACTTCACACTGGTTTATATTGACATTATTGAAATGAAGACAGGTTTTTATTCAAACTTTTTTTTGCAAAAAAAAAAATCCAAAACCAAACAAAAAATAAACAAGCAGGCAACATACATCTACACTGGTTTTACAAAGGTACCCGTTTATGAAATGGTACTGTGTGGGGATGTTGTTTGAATGTTTCAAATAAACTGAAGGTTCTCCTACTTATTGGAAAGAATAAATCATTTAAAACCATTCGGGAATGTTTGAAATGTACACTTTCACAATGTCTGTACCCGTGTTACCTTTTTAAGCATGTTTAAAGTTAAGGTTTAGGACAAAGGTGTCAAACATAAGGTCTGGTGGCTGGAATTTGCCCAGCAAAGACCCCAATCAGGCCCACTGGATGACTTTGGAAAATGTGAAGAAGAACACAGTTTACATTTTTTCCTACCCATGGCCAGTCACATTACACCAAAGTAATTAAATTACAGATTTCTGTAATTTTACACATTATTTCTTACAATCTAAGCTTGAAGAGTCGTGCTGAACGACTTCTTTTATTTACTACAACAGCATTTCTTTACCATGTAGAAAAACTGAGACATAATTTTTAAATTGCTTATGTTTGTGTTGATATTTCAATGAGTGAATCCACAGTTACACTTTTTACACAGAGAAACTGGAATTTCACCGATCCAACCCACATAAGATCAAAGTGAACTCTATGTGGCCCGCAATATAAAATGAGTTTGACATTCTTGCTTTTCACAGGGCATAAACGATCTGTAACATCATTGCAGGTTGGTTCATGGAAATCGTAGCTCTTATTTTGCATAGACCTACAAGGTCTTTTTCTCATTTTGTTCATTTATTTCCACTCAACTTTAAAACATGAAGCTACAGCTGTAACAGATCCATAAAAGTTTTTACCGTACTCGATGCACTGAAAAATGCGGGAAATGCCATGGTGGCCAATTTCCAGTTGTTTTTAATTCAGTGCTGTTGTAGCACTCGTGTAGTCCACCGTAGATTTCATTAGCAGTCACTGTGGCGTTCTAGTGCATCTAATTTGTCAGTAGTGGCAGTGGATGGAGAGAAATCGTACATCACACATGCAAATAAAAAAAAAAAAACATGCAATGATTTATATAGCAGATATTTAGAATTTCTCAAAGTAATACTGCATTAAATGGTTTTAATGAACTGCAGACACGTGCACATATGAAGAAATAGCACACAAACAAAAAAAGAGCAGGAAGTCAACAAAGTGTGTTACCTTAGTAAGTGTGTCAAAGTAGCATGATATCTAATGTCTTCAAGCACATCACATAAACTCATATGAGGAAATAAACATAAGATAAACAAAGGTTATCCTCAGATTCTAAAATAGGCTTTTATAAATCTACCACAGTTGGACAGAGGTTGTAACCGGCCAACCATTCTCTTCTTGTAATATAGGCTAGAAATTTTTTTATAACTTTGTTTCCTAAAATGTCAAAACACTGCGAAATGTGAATAAAATTAGAATGAAATTGATTGTAGCTCATTCAAACTCTGAAAAGGAGGAGACACAAACCCTTTGGGGTTACAACAAGAAAAAACAAAACAAAAAGAGACCTACCAAATCAAGCATGTGTTGCTACGTGCTCTGGCAACCACTCTTAAATAAGGCACGAGCCAAAATTAGCTTTATTTAATTTAGAAGGGTAAAAACAACTTTTGTTTTTTTTTACGTGAGCTCATTTTGAGTTTGATGCCAGTAAAATGTTACAAAGCTGTCATTACAGGGGCAACAATAGACAGCAAAATGTTGTAAATTTGTGCAATCCAGAAAGAAATTTGGTGCTCAACACATTAGGTTAATTAGTAACATGATATATGAAAAGAGCATCCCAGAGAAACTGAGTCTTTCAGAAGTAAAGTTAGGAAAGGGTTCACCAGATCCAGAGAAATCTGGACAAGGCTGGAAACCAGTACTGAATGTTTGTGATCCTTAGTTCTATAATGGAAATCGATGCATGGGCTTTGGGTAGACACCAATAACCACAAATTTAGCACACAAAGTAAGAAAAAAAAACATTCAAACAAGCGGCAAAAAATGTTTCTGCATTCTATAAGCATAGTTCATTTAATATAGACTCAAGTCAATTGGAAAAATAAAGTCAAAAGGGAGCCTGGGGCAGGCCTATGGGCTCCCCTAGTGGTATAGTTGCACATCTGTGAAGGCTTAATTTATGCTGAACGATAAATCAGGTTTTGGAGCGACACGTTCTTTCATCCAGCTGTGTCAGGTATTGCCGTGCATTACTAAGCGAGACTAGGCCAAAACACATTCTGTACATACATATTAAATTAGGGGCGACCGTGGCTCAGGGGGTTGGGAAGCGTCTGTAACCGGAAGGTCGCCGGTTCGTTCCCCGGGCTCTCTGTCCTGGTCGTTGTGTCCATGGGCCAGAGGGGCCGATGGTGCGATATGGCGGCCTCGCCTCTGTCTGTAGCTTGCCTCCACCAGTGTGTGAATGTGAGGGTGAATGAATAGTGGAATTGTAAAGCGTTTTGGGTGCCTTGAAAAGCGCTATATAAATGCAATCCATTATTAAAAGATTCTGGGTGGTGAACTGGCCCGCTTGTAAACCAGATCTGACATCTATTAAAAACATTTGGAGCACTAGAAAACAAAAATACAACAAAGGAGTTGTTAAGCTTCTGAAAGTAACAAAGGGAAAGTAACAAAGGGAAAGCAATTTATCTCCAAAAGCATAGCAAGTTGACTCCTTATGTCCCTTTTAACAGACTACAGAGCAGATGCAACGCAGCCGAGTTGTAAACACGCCCCCTTTACAGTTTTTTTTAGGAAAAGCTTTGCTGTAATCAATCTCTAAATGAGCCTACTGCTTTCGGGTAAATAAGAAGAATTCTGAAAGGCAGCATCTGATGCTTAAAATTAAATATAGGGTTTAAATGATTTGTATATCTTTGCATTTTACACAGTGTGCAAACTTTATAGGAAACAGGGTTATAAACATAATGCTGTCAATTTAATAAAGGATAATTAAGCAGGCCTCCTGGTCTGAATTCCTGTTACAGCATCATTACATTATTAGTACATTGGTAAACATTTATTCAATAAGGCATTTTGCAGTGTTCTAGTGTGCAAACATGTAAACAGGGCTAGAGCATTTTCCCCTGATTTAGACATAATGCACGCACATTTTGATGTTAATAACTGCTTCTCCATAACATGAGCAGAAACAGTTTCACAGCTTCAGGAAAGTGTTGGAGTGATAGTAGCTCTTACATTTTTGGCAAATGATCTAAGACACTGGAAGTAAACTTGAACATGAAAAAAGAAAAGAACATATTTTATAAACTTTGTGTAACAACCAATAAAACAGAAGGCTGGCGTGTTTGATGCGTCAGTTTAAAAAGTATTTTTTCTAATGTGTGAATTGCACTAAAACCTTCTTTGTTCGTGTTCGGCGACTTGAAACTGACCAACAATGAGTCTGACCTTGATACACAGTGTCCTTCTGTAACTCTGTTGCACAAAAACCAGGCAGGTGTTTGCAAATATCTGCTCGGCAGTGTTGATTTTTACCACAAAGGAATAGACTGCATGATCACACATCTTCTGCCAAAGATCCCCACAGTTTCAGTCTGAGTCAGAGTCTGAAAATTCATCTACAAAACAAAAAAAGGGAAGAAAACCCTGCGTCAGACAGAGTGTCACTTCTCTGGGTGCACTTTCTGTGGACGAGCTACATCAATAAGGAAGAAAATAACAAGCGCACAAAACGTGGTGCGCTTGGAGAAAGGCATTTTTTATCTTTTGAACATAGAGAATTGTCTAAGGGTGCCAGTTTTGTTTTCATTAACAGAGTGCACGCTTTGAGGAATGAAATGAAACTTTTTTGTTGAAAGGGTTGGTTCATGCTTTGCACAAAATGCTTTGCACAGTGGGATCAGACATCAAAGTGAAGTTTATAAATGATCCATCTCTGAAT